CACACACTCCTCCCCGCCGGCCCCCCAGCGCTTCCCGGCCAGTGCCTCCCCCTGCAGCGGGAGTTCTCGGGTTGCAGGTGGGCATGCTGATGGGAACCTTTGTGTGTTTCGTTTTCAGAGAAAGACAAGAGCCAGCAGGGAAAGAATGAGGACGTGGGCGCCGAAGACCCGTCCAAGAAGAAGCGGCAGCGGCGGCAGCGGACTCACTTCACCAGCCAGCAGCTGCAGGAACTGGAGGCCACTTTCCAGAGAAACCGCTACCCGGACATGTCCACGCGCGAGGAAATCGCCGTGTGGACCAACCTCACGGAAGCTCGAGTCCGGGTAGGAGCCCGCGCGGAGCCCGAGAGGGCTGGGCGGGAGAGCGCGATGGAGGCGCAGGCCGTGTAGACCGGGAGGGAGTGCGGAAGGCGGCGCCGCCCCGGAGGCTGCGCGTGGGGTGCCTTTGCGAAAGCAAAAGGTCGCTCGGCTGGCCCAGTCGCGAGGTTACAGCTCCCCCATCCGAGGCTGCCGCGGCCCCCGTTGGGGCCCGGAATGGCACCGGCTCACTGCTACGCCACCCGGAGCCCTCCCAAACTGGGCCACATGGCATTCATTCCCTTGCACAGGGTATTGTGTTCCTGGCTTGCAGTCGCCAGGCGAGCGCTAATAAACTCCCTCCCAGGCCAGGAGCTGAAAACAGGCTCCAACCTGTGCGCCTTTAACAAGGAAAACCGGCCAGAAACACGCAAGGGAAACTTTCGCGCCGGGCCTGGCCCAGCCCTTTCTCTACTCCTCTCGTCCTCCATGCAAGGTCTCTGCGGGTTTTTTCTGGCCATTCAGGTCTCTCTCACACCCTACTCCCTGGTTTTGTGGTCTCCGGAAGCCATTTTAATACACAAGCTACTATCCTGCTAGTCCTCTTAGAAAGAAAAAGAAAAAGACTTTTCAGTTTGGTTTATTTATCTCTTCTCAGGAGATTGTTGCACCCTTCCTCCCGGTTATAATAGTTTTATCAAAGAAAGGGCTTACCTTTGTAGCAAAGCTGTGCTTTATGGATTGGCAAAAAAATGAACTTTAAATCAGTTACCCAGTAGCAGCATCCTGGTTTATGCTCGTCGGTGCAAAACTCCAAAATTGTTAGGATTCTGGAAACAGAAAATACACAAAGGATCCAGAGGCTTTACTGTAAAAAAAAAAAAAAAATGCCCTGGATAGAAAAACAGAGCCCCCAGCTAGAACAGAGAAAGCAGAAAGAAGAAAGCATGTAACAATAATGATGAAAAGATTTAAGGCCAAAATGCACTGCCAGAGCAGAGGGAAGGAAGAAGACACTGTCTGGGTGGCATTGTGTAAGACATGAGGCGAGGCTGGTGGTAGAAGAGCCGGAATGAAGTTGGAAATGGTTTTAGTTTAACTGCATGGAGCTAGCGCTCGGCAGGCCTGCCTGGTTTTGCAAAAGGTCAGTCTTTCATTAGCTCTCCTGAGCAGCAGGGGAACGGGCCTCTCACGTACTCTTCTTGCCTGGGCAAAGTTTAGACGGCGTAGGGTAGAAATGGCAAGTAGTTAAAATAAAAGCGCAATCTGTGGATACTGCGGAATCCTTCAGAAAAGCCCCCCCGCCCCTCCTCTGGCTTCTCTGCAGTCCCTCCCAAGTGCCCTGCTGCCGCCAGTCCGGGCTCTCGCTCCCTCCGGCTCCCTCCGTCCAAGCCCAAGGCTGGTCCAGCCAAGTGGGAGTGAGGCGTGCTTTTTATAGCAGTCGGGTGCAGAAGAGGAAGGGGGATACAAAGGAAATCAAGAAGGAAAGGGGGAAAGGGGGGAAAAAGCGGATTAGTCGTCTGGGCCCGGCTGAGACGAGTAATGTGAAACATCACTGGTGTCAACTCCGAAATCTCCGACCAGGCCTCTCTCCAATACACAAAAGCCGCCGTCTGGGGCCACTGGCGGGCCCAATGTGGATTGAGAGCGGGGTTGTGGCGGGGCCACCGGCCGGGGGTGGGGGCCGCCTGCAAAGCCCAGACCCGACTGGGCCCAGGGGGAGAGCGTGGGGGCGCAGGCCTGGCCTGAGATTGGCGGAGTAAGAGAGAGCTCGGAGCGAGCAGGGGCTACAGAGCGACCCTTTCTGGGGTCGGGAATTTACGCGCTGAGTTCGGGGAGTTTACTGAGCAGTCGGGGAGGGGCCTTTGGCTTTTTACTTGGTGGTTTTGCTAGGCGGAGCTAGCGGGGGCTGCAGAGCGACCCTTTGGGGTCGGGAGTTTACGCGCTGAGTTCGGGGAGTTTACTGAGCAGTCGCGGAGGGGCCTTTGGCTTTTTACTTGGTGGTTTTGCTAGGCGAGGAAGGGGTTGCGGCTCGGCATTGTTGAGGGGAAGGTGCAGCTTCCCCTGGGTGGAAGGCGGCAGTGGAGACCCCAGAGGGCAGGGAGGAGCTGTGTGGGAGAGCGGGTCTTGTGCCCTCTCCGTCCCGGGTACTCTTCATGGAGTGTGTGGCTTTGGAATGGGAAGCAAGTTTGCAAGGTGGCCAGGGAAGGATGGGGGTGATGGCGGGGGAGCCTGCTGACCCGCGTTTGTTTCCGCAGTGAGTGTTTGTGGATCCTGAGCAGGGCCTGGGTTAGAGAAGGAGCTGCCACAGGCCACCAAGCATTCGGCTGGGGTTTGTGGCGAAGCTCAGAGTCCTGCCTCGCAGGCCCGAGCCGCCAGGGCTTCCTTCCTCGTTCGGTCTGGGCTCCAGACCAGGGGGCGCGGGGCGCGCGGGGGAGGGGAAAACGAGGGTTTGTGTGTCAGAGAAGAGGCGGCCTCTGGTGCTCTGCGGGATCCAGGTTTGACTTATCCGATCTGTGGCGTCTATTTGCTCCCTGCCCCCCACCCCCCACCCCAGGTTTGGTTCAAGAATCGCCGGGCCAAATGGAGAAAGCGGGAGCGCAACCAGCAGGCCGAGCTGTGCAAGAACGGCTTCGGCCCGCAGTTTAACGGGCTCATGCAGCCCTACGACGACATGTACCCGGGCTATTCGTACAACAACTGGGCCGCCAAGGGCCTCACGTCGGCCTCCCTGTCCACCAAGAGCTTCCCTTTCTTCAACTCGATGAACGTCAACCCCCTGTCGTCGCAGAGCATGTTCTCCCCGCCCAACTCCATCTCCTCCATGAGCATGTCGTCCAGCATGGTGCCCTCCGCGGTGACCGGCGTCCCGGGCTCCAGCCTCAACAGCCTGAATAACTTGAACAACCTGAGCAGCCCGTCGCTGAATTCCGCCGTGCCGACGCCCGCCTGCCCTTACGCGCCGCCGACTCCCCCGTACGTTTACAGGGACACGTGTAACTCGAGCCTGGCCAGCCTGAGACTGAAAGCGAAGCAGCACTCCAGCTTCGGCTACGCCAGCGTGCAGAACCCGGCGTCCAACCTGAGCGCTTGCCAGTACGCCGTGGACCGGCCGGTGTGAGCCGCGCCCACAGCGCCGGGATCCTAGCACCGTGCCGGGCGGACGGGGCAGCTCTGCCCTGGAAAGACTGGGGATGACGCTAGAAGGTCGTGGGCACTAAAGAAAGGGACAGAAAGAGAAGACAGAGAAAAGGAAACCACTGAATTAAAGAGAGGGAGCTCCCTTGATTTCAAAGGAATTGCCTCGATGCCTGACATCTTTCACTAAAAGTATTTCCAAAACTTGCAAGGACACACACACACACACACACACACACACAAATGTTTGACTGGATAGGACATTTTAACATTACTATAAGCTTGTTATTTTTTAAGTTTAGCATTGTTAACATTAAAATTACTGAAAGGATGTATATATATCGAAATGTCAAATTAATTTTATAAAAAGCAGTTGTTAGTAATATCACAACAGTGTTTTTAAAGGTTAGGCTTTAAAATAAAGCATGTTCTGCAGAAGCGACTAGGATTTTTCGCTTTCGAGCAAAGGAATGTATATATTAAATACCACACTGTATGTTTCTAACATATTATTATTATTAAAAAATGTGTGAATATCAGTTTTAGAATAGTTTCTCTGGTGGATGCAATGATGTTTCTGAAACTGCTATGTACAACCTACCCTGTGTATAACATTTCGTACAATATTATTGTTTTACTTTTCAGCAAATATGAAAAAAAGTGTTTTATTTCATGGGAGTAAAATATACTGCATACAAATTGGTCTGGATTCTTTCTGCCCTGCTCTGTCGCCTGGCCAGGGTTTCTCAGTCACGACCTACTAAACCAGTTCCCTCTGCCTGCGTAGTCAAAGACACAAGGCGGGAGTACTTATTTAAATCTGGTAGAAATAAATTATAATCATCCATCAGAAACAACAACAAAAAAAGCACTCCCCGAAAAGAAAAGAAAAAAGATCTGCAAAGTCTGATCTTGTCTCCAAGATTTGTATTTGGCTTAAACCCCGAGGATTCCATTATTGCTAGAAAAAAAAATAATCTAAGAGAGAGAGGAGAAAGAAATGTAGAAAGTACACCAGCTTGGAATTTCTCATTGACTCCTGGGGGAGAGGGGTGGGGAACCTGTGCCTCCAGGGAATTGTTCTGGAGAAGTACATGTGTACGTATACCTGTACAGTTTATATACATTCCTCTTAAGAGGAATATGTCTATAAGTTATAAGGAAACACCTCCAGTTCAAAATATTTAGGCCTCCACGTTTATCTTTCAGGCTTAAGTAGAGAGATTCTTCATGTTATATTGCATTACTATTTCCAAATCCTTTAGAGACATTAAAAGAAACAAAGACAGGTTCTAATAACTACAGCCCCTTCGTTTCTCAAAGAGCCCAGGGGGTGAGAGGTTAGAGTGGAGTTTCCTGAGTCTTGTCGAGCAATATGTAGTTGAGACAAAGGTCATGCTCCCCGTGTTTTGTTTTAAATAATATTGACCCATTAATTCTAAACCTGCTTGTTCCTGAAATTATACAGGATTATAGTTTGCAAACTGCAGGACAATGATTCAAATCAAGATGAATTACAGCCCTTGCCCTCCCTCCCATCCTCTGACTTCTAAAGGGGGAATGAGGGTCTGTGTGAGTGTTTGAAAGAGCTTGAAACACCCCCTCTTCCTTTGTCGGTGGTTTTCAGCCTTTTTTTTTTTAATGTGGAATTTGATTTAGTAGCAAATAGTAGCAACTACCACTGAGTTTGGAAGAACTCATCACCGCGGCGCTGCGAGGGGGAGGAAAGAGTGTGGTCAGAGCCGCCCCGAACCCCCAAGTGGGCGAGGACAGACACCATCAGGGGAACCGGGAGCGAAAAGAAGCCGCCAGTTTTGAGGAGCAGAGAAAACCTGTGTTTTTTTGCGCTTAGGTTTCTTTTATCTGAAGCTTTACCTACAAGCTTTTGAAGCGCAGACACTGAGTCTTTGTTCTGAGAGGAACTGCTGCTGCCATTTCAAGGGATCGCAGGTAATGTCCCCGATGTCAGATCAGTGCTCAGTGCACATTAACTTTCTTTCCTTTTTAAGCTCTGCCTGCGACCTGTGGAGGGATCACGCGGTGGTGGGGGGCAGATAAAAGCCCTTTGAACGAGGGCCACCTCCGTCCTTGTTGTGCACTGGCGAGCACTGGAGAGGAAAGCGGTCCCCACCGGCGGACTTTGGCTTCTGGAGCGGCGGGGGCCCCGGTCCGGGCCGCCCGGGC